ATTCACATCTGATTGGATTGATTTTAACATATACTGACGTTGATCCTTAAAATTACCTTCTGCTTTATTAAATATAAACATTTTTTAATGTATAGCTTATTTTTAAGCTTATAAGAACTGACCTCTAACACGACGCTCAAATAAAAAATGAGTACGAAATTAATACTTGTGTGACAAAATCTTTCTCAATAATTAATACTAGTATTTATTATTTTATTTCATATTGATTAATATTTTATTTTGACGAAACAAAAAAATCTAAACTTTCGAAGTGATTGTGTCTTTAATAGATTAAATTAATTAATTGTATTATTTAAAATTAACAACATATCGAGTAACGGATATTAGAAATTATAAGAAGCCATATTCAAGTTAGAAAGGAACTTTAGTAGAACCATCATTTCTTTTTTTGTAATTATGGATTACGATTAAATTAAATATATAACTTGATATAAGCAAATTAAATAATAAATGAAAGAAATCATTACGTTGAGATTTAAGAATTTAGTATGTAGTAACTTCACAATAATAACATTTCTGTTCAATCTAAAATTGCAATTAATTTTTTTAAAAATGTTAGTGACTTAATGTAGTGATATATATTCAGAAATTTTTATACGCGCAAAATGTAAATTAGCCTTGAAAAATTTTATGCAATCATATGTGAGAGTAAATAATTATAGCGGCAATTAATCATTGGGCTAAAACAAAATCTTTTGAAATAAAGATTATCACCTGGTTGTTAGCTATAAAATTCCTTTCATATTCGGAAAATTAATATTTTCATCAAATTATTTAATAATTTTTCTTGCAGTTTAATACTGGATAGAACAAATAAAAATCGTTACTATAGAATTATTTTTTACTGATAATTTATATAGTATTTAATAATTTGAATGAATTTATTATACAATTATTTAAATTACAAACTAAGAAAATTGTAAAAAATTTTACTACTCTAGTCTTAGTGTTTAAATAATTCAAAATAAATTATAAATAATAAATGATAGAAATTTAAAAATATAAAAAAATTGTTAATTTATAAAAAGATAATTTAAAATCCATCTAAATAACAGATATCATAATAGTAACAGGTTAGTAAATAAAATAAATAAAATATAGTAGTAAAAATAAAGAATAATAAAGTAATTAAGAACTTACCATCAGGAATTTCAAATTCATCTTGTTCATTTGAATGAAGATTTGGATTATTATGTATATCATCATCATCATCTATAAAAAATAAATAAATAAATAGAATTAAAAATAGTATAAAGTTAACTATTATTATGTAAGACTTCGCTTACCATCAATATTAATATTTTGCTTTTTTGTTTGTTGTTGAGTTATTTCTTTTTCATCATCTAAATTTTTAAATAAATGATGTGTTCAATAAATGAAATTAATATAATAGCGACTTTATTTGTTTGTAATTTACTTACTATTTGAATTTATTTGCAACTTTTTAAATACTTTAGATAATCTTTTACTGCTACCTAAATTAGGATTAATATTAAATTCAGTTTCAATTTATTATTTCTAATAATATATATATATATTATAATTCAAATAAATATTACCTTTAAAACTATTAATTACTTTTGATGATTTGCTACTATTTTGCTTATTTGACCCGTTAAAATCATTAACTGAAAACAAATATTAATTTATAAACATTGTTGTGAAAAAAAATTCAACAACTGAATGTAGTGTTAAATACTTACTATCATCAGGAATGTTAAAATCATATGATTTACTATGAAATGCTATTATAAAAAATAAACTATTTCAATATTAAATTGTTGATAATTAAAAAATAACAAAAAATTATTAATACCTTCTTGTTCTTCTATTATAATTAATTTTAATTAAGAAATAATAGTAATGTTAATTTATTTTAAATAAACTAAAAATAAATAAGCTAAAAAGATTAATAAAATATTATACACTTATACCTTCTGTTGCATTTCTTGGTTCAAATAGATTTTCAAAATTGTGAATTTTACTTGTAAATAATCTGCTACTTGTACAATTTCCTCTTACTTTATTCATTTCTAAATTATCTATTTCTGATTGAAATGATTTATCTGACATATTTTGATAATCTAAAGTAATTCTTTCCATTTTGTCCTCAAGTGCATAAACATCAAGTCTTTTTAATGGATCAGCATCCCAACATTGTATCATTAAATTTTTATATTCTAATGGAGTTCCTGGCACAATTTTTGGCCTTATACCATTAATAATGTTCATTGCAAGATCATAATCATGTTCATAATTTATAAATGGTGGTTGTCCAGATGAGATTTCCCACATAAGCATTGCAATACTATAAATATCAGATGCAAAAGTACATTCCCTTCCAGCAATAACTTCCGGTGCTATATAAGGAAGATTTCCATATATACTTTTTGATGATTTATCAGCAGGTCCACAAAATCCAAGATCACTAATAAACCAACGATCATTAAACTGTGAATATAATATATTTCCAGAATGCAAATCTCTATGGTTTGCATTTTCACCATGAATACGATAAAGTGCAAGAATTATTTCATAAGCAATCCCAATTCTTTCTTTCCATGTAAGTTGATTATGATTTTGTTGTAAATACTTTCTTAAATCTATATCCATTTCCATCATTACAAGCATATAATTTCCATTTGTTGGATTTTGTGTCAATCCATAACATTGAACAATTTCTGCCCGTTTATTACTTATGGTTAAATGTGATTTAGCCTAAATGACAACATGTTATTGTTAATAGAAAAAACATTAAATTTTTAAATAAATTTAGAATAAAATTATACAAACCTCTTCAAACCAACTTTGATTTGCACTCTCAACATTTTCTAATTTTTTAAGTATTACATTATTATTTTTCAATCTTATTAATTGTTTTTTTACAGAATCCCATTCATCATATTCTCCATTAATCCAATCTGCTGTATAAATTTCAGAAAATCCACCTTTTGTTAAATATTTAATATTTTCTAAATTACTATATGGGATCCATTCAACTACTTTACTTGGCATAAGTGTTGCCATTTGACATTTCTGTATTAAATTATCAATATCTTCATTACCAGATGTCCAATTTGAAAAATTTTCTTTTAAATAATTTCGAACACAATATTCACAATATAATGTAGCTAAACATTTTTGGTTACAATTTTCACAAATTCTTCTTGTACCATCATTATAAAAAATTTTATTTCGATCATAATTTTCAGTTAAATCTCTTATTGCTTCAGTTTTTTCTTCACTTGTAAGAATTTTATCAGCAAGAAGTGTTTGTTGTTGGAACTTAAATCGTTTATGTATATCATTATGAATATTAGTATCTGTTAACATTATTATTCTATTCTTTGTTGCATAAATTAATTCATATCGAAGAGTGGACATAATGTAATATAAATTAAAAGGAAAGAAAGAATTGTGTTTCAAGTTCGTTACTCAGAGAAAATTAGTAAATGCAAATTGTTGATCAAAACTTGTACCACTCATGTACCACCATGTGAATTTAAATTGAGATCTTAAGGCGCAGTACCGACGCTCAAATAAAAAATGAGTACGGTATTTTTTAAATTATTAAAAAACATTTGTGTGACAAAATCTTTCTCAATAAATTAATAGTATCTATTATTTGATTTCATATTGATTAATATTTTATTTTGACGAAACAAAAAAATCCAAGCTTTTAAAGTGATTGTGTCTTTAAACGATTAAATTAATTAGTTGTATTATTTAAAATTAACAACATATCGAGTGATGGATATTAGAAATTATAAGAAGCCATTCAATTTATTATTTTCTTTAAAGAAGCCATATTCAAGTTAGGAAGGAACTTTAGAAGAACCATCATTTCTTTTTTTGTAATTATGGATTACGAATAAATTAAATATATAATTTGATATAAGCAAATTAATAATAAATGAAAAAAATCATTACATTGAGATTTAAGAATTTAGTATGTAGTAACTTCACAATAATAGCATTGCCGTTTAGTAATCTATAATTGTAATTAATTTTTTAAAAACTGTTAGTGACTTAATGTAGTGATATATATTCAAAAAATTTTATACGCGCAAAATGTAAAGCCTTGAAAAATTTTATGCGGTCATATGTGTGAGTAAATAATTATAACAGCATCCATTCATTGGGTTAAAACAAAATCTTTTGAAATAAAGATATACTTTAAAATATCAATCACCTGGTTGATAGCTATAAAATTTTTTTTATATTCGGAAAATTAAAATTTTCATCAAATTATTTAATAATTTTCTTGACTGGGTAGAACAAATAAAAATCGTTACTATAGAATTTTTTTTACTGATTATTTTATATATTTAATAATTTGAATAAATTTATTATTCAATTATTTAAATTACAAACTAAGAAAATTGCAAAATATTTTACTACTCTAGTCTTAGTGTTTAAATAATTTAAAATAAATTATAAATAATAAATGATAGAAATTTAAAATATAAAAAAATTGTTAATTTATAAAAAGATAATTTAAAATCCATCTAAATAACAGATATCATAATAGTAACAGGTTAGTAAATAAAATAAATAAAATATAGTAGTAAAAATAAAGAATAATAAAGTAATTAAGAACTTACCATCAGGAATTTCAAATTCATCTTGTTCATTTGAATGAAGATTTGGATTATTATGTATATCATCATCATCATCTATAAAAAATAAATAATTAAATAGAATTAAAAATAGTATAAAGTTAACTATTATTATGTAAGACTTCGCTTACCATCAATATTAATATTTTGCTTTTTTGTTTGTTGTTGAGTTATTTCTTTTTCATCATCTAAATTTTTAAATAAATGATGTGTTCAATAAATGAAATTAATATAATAGCGATTTTATTTGTTTGTAATTTACTTACTATTTGAATTTATTTGCAACTTTTTAAATACTTTAGATAATTCTTTACTGCTACCTAAATTTAAGATTTTGATTTAATATTAAATTCAAATTCAATTTATTATTTCTAACATTTAATTCAAATAAATATTACCTTTAAAAATATCAATTATTTTTGATGATTTGCTACTATTCTGTTTATTTGACCCATTAAAATCATTAACTGAAAACAAATATTAATTTATAAACATTGTTATGGAAAAAATTCAACAATGTAGTGTTAAATACTTACTATCATCAGGAATGCTAAAATCATATGATTTACTATGAAATGCTATTATAAAAAAAAAAATAAACTTTTTTAATACTAAATTGTTGATAATTAAAAAATAATAAAAATTATTAATACCTTCTTGTTCTTCTATTATAATTAATTTTAATTAAGAAATAATAATGTTAAATTTATTTTAAAATAAACAAAAAAGATTAATAAAATATTATACAATTATACCTTCTGTTGCATTTTTTGGTTCAGGTAGATTTTCAAAGTTGTGAATTTTACTTGTAAATAATCTGCTACTCGTATAATTCGTTTCTAAATTACTATCTATTTCTGATTGAAATGATTTATCTGACATATTTTGATAATCTAAAGTAATTCTTTCCATTTTTTTCTCAAATGTATAAATATCAGGCCTTTTTAATGGATCAGCATCCCAACATTGTACCATTAAATTTTTATATTCTAATGGAGTTCCTGGCACAATTTTTGGCCTTATACCATTAATAATGTTCATTGCAAGATCATAATCATGTTCATAATTTATAAATGGTGGTTGTCCAGATGAAATTTCCCACATAAGTATTGCAATACTATAAATATCAGATGCAAAAGTACATTCCCTTCCAACAATAATTTCGGGTGCTATATAAGGAAGATTTCCATATATACTTGTTGATGATTTATTAGCAGGTCCACAAAATCCTAGATCACTAATGTCCCAAGAATCATTTAATTGTGAATATAATATGTTTCCAGAATGCAAATCTCTATGAATTGCATTTTCACTATGAATATGATAAAGTGCAAGAATTATTTCATCAGCAATCCTAATTCTATCTTTCCATGTAAGTTGATTATGATTTTGCTGTAAATATTTTCTTAAATCTCCATCCCTTTTCGCTATTACAAGCATATAATTTCCATTTGATATATCTTGTGTCAATCCATAACATCGAACAATAACTGTCTGTTTATTACTTATGGTTAAATGTGATTTAGCCTAAATGACATGCTATTTGTTATTATAAAAACTCTAAGTTTTATAAATAAATTTCAAATAAAATTATACAAACCTCTTCAAACCAACTTTGATTTGCACTTTCAACATTTTCTAATTTTTTAAGTATTACAGTTTCATCGCCAAATCTTATTAATTGTTTTTCCTTAGAATCCCATTCTTCATAATTTCCATTAATCCAGTCTGCTGTATAAATTTCAGAAAATCCACCTTTTGTTAAATATTTAATATTTTCTAAATTATTATATGGGATCCATTCAACTATCATATTTGGCATAATTGTTTCCATTTGACATTTCTGGATTAAATTATCAATATCTTCATTACCAGATGTCCAATTTGAAAAATTTTCATTTAAATAATTTCGAACACAATATTCACAATATAATGTAGCTAAACATTTTTGGTTACAATTTTCACAAATTCTTCTTGTACCATCATTATCCATAACTTTATTTCGATCATAATCTTTAGTTAAATATCTTATTGTTTCAGTTTTTTCTTCACTTGTAAGAATTTTATCAGCAAGGACTGTTTGTTGTTGGAACACAAATTGTTTATGTATATCATTATGAATATTAGTATCTGTTAACATTATTACTCTACTCTTTGTTGCAGCAATTAAGTCATATCGAAGAGTGGACATAATGTAATATAAATTAAAAGGAAAGAAAGAATTTCGGTGTTTCAAGTTCGTTACTCCGAGATAAATTAGTAAATGCAAATTGTTGATCAAAACTTGTACCACTCCTATACCACCATGTGAATTTAAATTCTGTGATCTCAAGGCGCAGTATCGACGCTCAAATAAAATGAGTACGGTATTTTTAAATTAATAGAAAACATAAATCTGTGTGACAAAAACTTTCTCAATAAATTAATAGTATTTATTATTTGATTTCATATTGATTAATATTTTATTTTGACGAAACAAAAAAATCTAATCTTTCAAAGTGATAGTGTAAATTAGTAATTAATTGTATTATTTAAAATTCAATATAAATATGACTGGTAAATTAAGAAAAAATTCATCTTTTTGGATATTTTCAATTGAATTTATTCAATAAACAACAACATATCGAGTAACGGATATTAAAAATTATAAGAAGCCATTCAATTTATTATTAAACCATATTTAAGTTAGAGAGGAACTGAACTTTTGTAGAACTATCATTTCTTTTTTTGTAGATATGGATTACGAAATAATGATTTGAATTAAAAATATATAATTTGATAAAAGCACATTAAAAATTAAATGAATGAGAAAGAAACCATCACTTTGAAATAAATAAACGTAGTAAGCTTCAGTACGTATGGAATGTACTAGTTCCATTATAGTCGGTATTACTGTTTAATAATAATGTTGTTTCCCAATTAATAAATTTCAATTTAACGTTACGGAAAAATTAAAAATTATTCTTTCAGAAAAATAATCATAAGCTTCTAAAACTTATTTAAATGATTTGGTAAATACAAACGTCGAATGTAAGTCTAACCTAATTTAATTACATAAATTAGTCATTTAAGAATAAACAAAATCATTGTTTAAAAAAATATAGATTAAATAAGTGTTAAGCCTCAAAAGGGTGTAAATAATAATGAATCTTATTATTATACTTGGTCAGTTACCATTTGATACTTTTGCTTCTTTAAAAGACAAAACCATCGACGTTTTTAATTTTTATATGTTTTATCGATAAAAAAAAAAGTTTAAAAAATACTTGCAATGTTTATCAATCATAATAGGATAAGAATTTTGTTGTGCGCAAACGATAATTAATTGCTAGCTTAGCCTTTTTAATGATATAATAAATTGAAAAGCAAATGAGCGGTAGTCATTAATTTATAAATAAATAATCATCAGATTTTTTAAAAAAAATATTTTGTATTAAATTTTTTTTTGATAATGATATGGTTAAATATTTATTGATGTTTCATAATAAATCTATATGTTTTTTATAATTAATTTTTCATCCAAACTTATAATAATAGCCATAGTAACTATCACATTAAAGTTTTTGAGTTTCTACATTTAATAATTTTTAAAAACGTGACCTTAAATTTTTAATCAACTCGTCAAGTCTCACAATGAGTAACCAGATTTTATCTAATGAGATCGATAAAACAAATGATTATGCCTATTACGAATCTATACCCACCAATGATAGGGTCGAGTTGATTTAAGTATTATTATTCATCAAGACATCAGGATATTTCACATATGCATAATCTTCCATAAAAACAATAAACTGAATTTCAATCATATTTTCATTTTCTAAAATTAAACAAGATACAAGAGAAATTCATATTTATATTTATATTACCATACTTAATAGTCGTCCATATGGATGATGTTTAATTAAAAAGTAGATTAATAAGTCTAAAAAAGTTTATTGATAGTTAACATAAATTCACTTATAACAAAAATAAATATATGACGATTGTCACTGAAACTATAACAAAACGTTCACTTTAACATTTTTTTCACCCATGTCTATTTTATTGACTGTCACTAAAAATTAACATCATTTTTAAATCCAAATTGGTTCAATACTTGTAATAAACTAATAATACTATTTATTATAAATTTCACTAGAAATATATTTTTTGTTGTGCGATATAATGTGTGTGCGAGGTCGTATACATACATTTGCAGTAAAAGTGATGAAATTAACAATTTAACGGATTATCCAATAACCGTTAAAGTCAACCATTATCAAGTAATTATTAACAAATTTTTTTAAAAAAAGTTTTTTCTTTGTTAATATAACGTTAAATAGAAAAAAAAATATCTTTTATAAAAAAAATAAAAAAGATAAAGAAATGCGCTTTTTTTTATAATAAAAATGCACTTTACATTTTTTTTTTATTAATAGGAATATAATAATAGGAATAACAAATTGCGGCTTTGTTTGTTAATAAAATAAATAATAGTTATTAAATATAAAATTATTTTTATTGATAAAAACTTTTTTCGTTAATATAGTATTTAACAAAAAAATAATTTTTGAAAAAAAACTACATTTTATACCTAAAAAATATACAGTATTTTTTTAAACTAATAAAATTGGTTTCACGAAAATTATTTTTACCGTACTGTACTACTGTTGATAGCTTATTTTCAAATCGTCTTAAAAAGAAAAATCGTCAAAATAACAAACTAAATATAAAAACTATAGTAAATAATAGGTAGGTTTGTAGGTTTGTAACGGGGAGGATTTACGTATCCTATGCTACATGTTTGATCTTCCCCAGTAACACCATCAAAAAAAGCTCGGGCATGTGATTTTTGAGCATGTGATTTTGTTACATACGGCGCAGTTTGTGGCAACTGATCTATTTAAATATTTATCGCGTATTACTGTAAGCTATTATTTAAGCTTTCTTTTCGCGTCTACATTACCAAATACCAAGAATACAACTTTTTTTTTTAAAATAAAAAGTTGGCTTATTTTCTTTACAATAGCTATAAATCTTTTAAAACAAAAATCGCAGAAAATATGAAACCTGTAGAAATATCAAAGTAAGCAATAATACCAGTTCAACAAACTAAATTGCAACTGTTATTTTGACAGCCTAATTAATGCAACCTTTTCTTCTAAAAGAGCAAAACTAGTCTGTATTATAAAGTAGTAAGGAAGTCATAGTCCTAATGTCCTATTAATAAATTAGGTGAAGACGTTGAACATTATCAAATAAGTGAACCTGCCATTAACATGGAAGGGGCATACTGATAGCACTCATAAATTAATGTATTTTAATAAAATTGAAATTGAATAAATTTTATTGTTAGATTAATATTACATTCTATTTTAATAAAGTAATTACTCAAATTTCATTAAAGAATTTGTTTTACTCTTATGAATTAACATCTATAAAATTTCATTATATTCTCAAGCAATCATCTTTGGAGTGGAGTATCTTAGGGTAAGGAAAGTTAGTTTAGGCCGAAGTACTTATCTTTGAAGATAATATTGACGTTGGAGTATCTTAGTGTTAGGGTAAGGAAAGTTGGTTTAGGCGGAAATACTTATTCTTGAAGATAATGTAGAGTGTAGACGTTGGAGTTTCTTAGGGTTAGGTAAGGAAGGTTAGTTTAGGCTGAAACTTTTCCTTTGGAATTAGTTAGGGTTAAGTAAGTAGCAATAACTGCGTACTGTAGTGCAATTTCTATAGCCACAGTCAAATCACATGAATCACGTGCCCGAGCTTTTTTTGATGGTTACGTGATAAATGATTAATGATCGTTTATTACCGGTAAAGCTCTTTTTTTTATCCATTTACATTGAATTTCACGTTCACAAATATTCTTTCCTTTAAAATTTTTTAGTGTAAGTTGATTTTTCCTTTAAAACTTTTTAATTTAAGTTGCGTATTTATATGAACGATATCCAGGATCATATATGGCGAAAATGACAATGAACCCAGTGATATTGACAATGAACCTGAAGTGAAAATGTTCAGGAAGAAGCTTTAGATACAATAAGAAAATGGAATAAGAATTAATACTCCATTTGTAAATCATTATTTACGAAATTGTCCTGAAAAGAATGTAAAGTTATTTGTAGCGAAATCTAAATTTCTTTGTATTTTGCTGTCGCATAGAATTAAAAAATAAATTTCTTTTTTTTTGTGTAAATTTTTGATTAATTTTATGTAAATAATGTAATACATTAATCCACATAACAGATAACAGAATCTAATCAATATAAATTAATTATTATTTAGCTTTAAATGAATTATCCTTTATTTTTTCCTCAAGTTAAATATCTAGGATATAAGAAAAATCTCGGTAGGATGAAATCATTCTTAACGCTAACGTCATCTTTATTTGTAGGGATTTGATATTACGAGTCTGGACATGAATAAGGCTTTGAAATTAACGAAAGTAAAGTATGTTAAAAAAAAAAAAGTCTAAAAAACTTGGTAACTTACGAGATCGATCATTGAATATTCGATTAGTTCACATCTTATTTAGCTCTGAATAATCGAGGAATATTATGACTTTTATAATTATTATAAATAATTATTATATTGGTAAATACCTTGTAGTGGCAACTATAGCAACTACTTTCCCCTTTCACGTTAAAAGACTCGAAGATAATATACAGCTTATAAAAATCTAGAATTAGTACACGAAATACCCTTATCCAATTTACTATCAATCTTCAAGTCTTAAAACCAAAATTTTTGATGGCATTCTAATCTTCTTTTGAAGGAATATTTACAAATGCATTCCGAACTTTTCATATACTAATACAATAATTTTCACCGTTAAACCTCAATAAAATAAGAGTATGAAGTCTTAATTCAACGGAACTAATAACTAATTTTTCTGATGAAAAATAATACATACCGTAATGTACACCAAGACGCGGTTCAGGACAATTTCAGATACAATAGGATAAAATCGAAAAAAAAACTTAGTATCGCTTGATGTGACTTGACAATATACTTTTTTTATTAATATATTCCGTCGGTTATAATAAGATAATTATTTTTTTTTAAAAAAAATAATTTTATCGATAATTTTACTATAAATGAAATATATTTTAAAAAGTGAGTTTGATAAAAAAGAACTTATATTAGGAATCCTCTGAAAATTCTGTATAAAATTTGGACTTCTTGTTACAAGTCACAAGAATTAACAAACAAACAAAAAAATTATTATTTTTATTTATTTTTTTTCAAAGATCGTCAAATATCGGCGCACAAAACTTTTTAAACTTTTTAAACTTTGTTATCGTGATTATCGTGACCCAAAATACTTGATTTATAAAAAAGTTTTTTTTTTAAAAAAAAACGAGTTTTTTGAAACCTTATAAAAATACAAAAATTTTTAAGTTTCGGAAAGAAAAAAAAATTTTAATTAAATACCTAAAATAATTTCAAGGTTTTAGGCTTAGATTTTTAAGGAAACAGAATTAGGTAAAAAAACAAACTTTAATTTGTTTCAGATACTTAAAAAAAATATAATCATTGAAATTATCGGAATTATCGGAATATTATCGGAATAAACCATAAATTTATGATGATCTTTTATATCGAGAGGGATAATCAGGAGTTATAGCTACGGGAATGATTTTGTTTTGTTTCTCATGTTTCTTATTGAGAAAAAAAAAAAATAATAAATAAAATATAACTTTTTTTAAAAAAAGAAAAATATTTTTTAAAAAAGTCTAACTTAATACTCTTGGATGGTTAAATTTAAATGACCAAAATGACCAATAGGAACAATACATACCGGGTAGATCAATTTATGGCAATCTATTACTAAATTAATCATAGCATCTAATGCGCGAAAATGTTTTAAAAAGAGCGAACCCATAATAATTAATAACCGAATATGTATAATAAATTCTTTTTAAAGACTAAACATTCAAACATAAGAGGAAAAGAATTTTATTTTTTTTAAAAAAAAAATTAAATTATTTATATCATAATATTAAAACCTGATAAAGTATTTATTTTTTTTTTTTTAAAAAAAAAAAAAGATATCAAGATATTTTATACTTTTATATTTACTTTATATTTACTTTATATTTTTTATATATTCCGACCTTTTTTATCCGTATTGTCATACTTTAATTACAAATACAAATAAATAAATACATGTGAAAATTGCGCCATCCTTTTCTTTGCAGATAATAATGAGAAAAAAAGGTACGTTTTTGTTTACAAAAATTTAAGAATAAAGTTGACATATTTGACAACATATTTTACATATTTGGGTTTTTATAAAAAAATTCATTATTATATATTATTACATTATCCCTTAATGGTTTGGTGAAAAAAAATGCGCCACTAAATACTAATACAGTATAAGAATAATCCTTCCTTATACCCTTAAATTATATAAATTTACTAAAAGTAGTATCAAAAAAATATGCATGTCTAATAAAAATTACTTTATTTTAATGGCGTTTAAACTTTAAACTTAATTAGAAGTAAATAATGTATAAACTTTTTTTAAAAAATTTTTAAGCCTATTCAACTTTTTGAGTTATAATAGACCGATGTTCACTCGTGTCATATGATCAATATTTACTTCATTAAGCAAAATGCACTTTTTTTAACGGAAAAAATATATATTTATTTATACCAAAAAGACCAAATCTCTCAAAATTGGTGATTATCACTTTTTTTTAGCAAGTTTCAAACATGATCCGATACTTATTGATACTTATTGATACTTATTGCAACAATAATAAAGATTATCAATTTATGTAACAAACAATTTTAGTAATCAATTTTGATTTCAAAAATTTCCGTTTCGGAAATTTCCATAATATTCTACATTTGGTCATCCCACAAACGGAATTTTATTTATGTTTATATTTTCGCAATTTGACATCATATAAAATTTATTCAAAATAATTATACATAATATATACAAATAAGAGAAGTAATTATTAATGTAAAAAATTATCTATCTAAAATAAAAAAAAAATTGTCATTTTTAATTAATACGTATATATATACATATATACATTTTTTTTTAATATATGATCTATTAATTTAATAAAACTTCTGCTGCTCTTACACAAGGAGCTCCGTTATTTAATATATATATATAATGTGGTCCAGGTGCAATTATTGTAGGATTTGGTGGTGTAGTTAAAGTTACAATATATTGATTGGTTGCACCTGCATCAAAATTTGCTTGACTAATGTCTAACCCAACAAATCTATGTCCCATACTTTGTGAATGTGTTACGAAACCAAGATGCATAATTGCAGCTGTGAATGATGGATTAGGGTCTGTAAGTGAGACAACAAAAACTATTGGTTGATTGTATCCTATTGTTATTCTATTTCCAGCAATATTGGTTCCATTGAGACTAAGTATCGTTGGACGTGGTACATCTGTTAAGAGATAAGGAGGTTTGAAAATTTCGGCTCGATATCTAAAATTTTAGAATTTGTTAAAAGTCAAATATGATAAAATTTTGATAAAATTTTTAAAAAAAATCAAAATCATACGTACTCTGTTGAGTATTTTATACCCTTCGCAACAGATGCTTGTGGATTACTACCGGCAACAAAAACGTAACCATCAGGAGATAAGGTTGCAACTGAATGATACATTCTTGCTACTGTTGACGGATTCATTTTCGTGTATACTTTTCCAACTGGGTCGTAAAGAACTGGGTTGAACGAGGGATTATCACTTAACCATAAAGGATTGTTTTTTTTGCCCTTACGAAAACCAGCATAACCAATTTGTGCTCCATTTAAAAATACAATTTGACCATTTGGTAATATCACGCTGTCAGGCATAACACGAGGAATTCCACCAAAATCGTCCATCTCCCAAGCAGGTGATTTAGCGCTTAAATCCAATCTACCGCAAGAAGAATCAGCTGTTGCAGTAATTTCATATGTTGCTTGACCTCCACAAACCATAACTTCGGGTTTATAATTATTATTAGAGTATAAGGGTAACATTACAGAAGTTCCGGTTTGTGGGTATGTACGTTGAACTGCTATTTTTGGATAGCTATAAACCACATTATTAGCTTCTAAATCAAATAATACAGGTTGTTGATTGGAAAGAATGAATAACATATTTTTATTCTCTGCATTTGGTACAATGTGCAAGAATACATAGAGGTTGTAAGGGAGAGTATCTACAAGGAATTGTATGGGTCTATCTGGGTCCGGTGTTCCATCAGCAGTTGATGGTGGCCAAATATTATAAGTTGGATTATTAAGTTCGACTTTATTGAGACCTGTACCACCAATAGAACCTCCTAATATAAGAACTTTTCCATCGACTAAACTATTTATTTAATAAAATATTATATTATATATTAAATATAATGATATAAAAAGGACTCCAAGATTAAAAATGTTAATTATAACTTACGGTAACATTGTGGGATACCATCTTTTCGATGGCATCACCATAAGCTTTTCTTCCCATGTAGCGGTCATTGGATCATAAAATCGTAAAGTTTGTTGACCTGGTACAAATGGAGGATCACCAGTATCACCACCGGTACCAACCAAAGTTCCATTTCCTAACCAAGATCCTGCCGAACAAAAAGTATCTGATGTAATATCAAGAGCTGTAAGTGTGTCTTTGTCAAGGTCGAGTAGTGAAGATTCTGCTGGTTGACCATTTGTTCGAAGCAATGGATTTGTTTCAGCTAAAAAAAAAAGATTGAACAATCATGTGATTAAGTAGGTAGAACATAGGTGTGATAGATTAAAAGTTGAAATAATTACGTCTATCAACGAAAACGTATTGGCCAGGACGAGCTACAAACATGTGCATTGCGTTGACACCCGTTAGTCTAGAAAAAGTATTTGTTAAAAAAAATAATGATAATAATGAATGCGTTTAATAAAGTAATTAATTACGTTGGAAGGATTGTCCATGTTCCTCCTTTTGCATCACCAATTTCTTTGCCTGTTGGTGCAGCAGGTGGTAATTCAGCTGGTGCTGGTGCTGGTGGTGCCGCGGCCTTTGGGTCTGCTTTTGGTGCAGCAGCCTTTGGATCTGCTTTTGGTGCTGGAGCCTTTGGGTCCGCTTTCGGTGCTTCCTTTGGGTCTGCTTTCGGTGCTTCCTTTGGGTCTGCTTTCGGTGCTGCTTTTGGGTCTGCTTTTGGTGCTGCTTTTGCTGCTGGTTCTTGTCGTCCTATAAATTTGTCAATAGATTTAAAATTTATCATTGTTTAAAAAAAAAAAGTTAAAAGGAAAGACAAAACTAATAAAATATCAAAATCTTTATTTTGAAATTTTTGACCCAATTAATTCAATTCTTTTTTGATTATTAAAAATGATGATGATTTATACGTCATGAAGCGTATATATAAGTGGTTAGTGAAAATATCGGTCGATGGGAAAAGTTTTTTTTTCATTGTAGAAATGAACCTTAACCAGCAATATAGCCAAATATGTAGTGTAACAATGCAATCACTTGCCGATAATGCGAATTTCTGCATTGTCATTTTAACAATTACTTAAGTCATAGCGTGCATTATGGAATTGATTATTATAATGGATACCATTTTAAGTTGAATGAGAAAAAACTTTATTCAACATTTTTTTTTACAAATGATCGAAAACAATGTTACCATATTATTAATATATGACATATGATAACTTATTATTTGATTGACAAAATTATGCAAAGGTGACGCCGTTTTTGGAATATCATCACTTTATTTGAGAATCAGTGTTATTACATGTTTCCTTATTTAGGATAATCAAGGATTGTTATTTATATATATTTTATTTATTTATTCATTCATGTGTAATTATTATAATAATGAAACGTCGATAATGTGGCAACTGCTTCGTCACTATATAGCAAGAATATTGCATATTTTTTTTAAAAGGAACAACAATTTATGCGAAAAATTTATAATAAACTTTATTTTGTATAAATTATCTTATTTGGAAAAAAAAAAAAAAGTTTTTTTTTTTTTTTTTTAAAGTTCCATTTATTATACTTTGTTTTAAACTTTAGGTAAATATATATTGTATAAAATTTAATTCATCCCTAAATAAACGTGATACTACCTAAAAATTGTAAAATTGTAACCCACTCGAACAGACCATCCGATTCAGATGAAAATGAACATTAGTAATCAAATGTCAACAAAAAGGTCGGCATAATTGGTAATGTGTCACCCGAACAGATTATCCGATCTATGTTAATCCTAATAAGAAGAAAATCGTAGTTAATCCTAATAAGAAAATCATATTAATAATCAATTTAAATATACTATTACTAATAAGATTAAGTGTCAAAAATCAAAATGGTATTTCAAAAGAAAATCAGCACAAACCAATTTGCCGGAATTACAGCATATTTATACTTATTTATTAAAATTCGAAAATAAACGTAATAATTTCTTTTTTGTACTCATTTGTAAAGAAAAAATATAATTCGTATTTTTTTTCTTTCATTTCAAAATGAATGATCGATAAAAAAACGCCAATACGGCGACCAGTTATCCGTATTTTTCTGGAATAATAAATCTCCTAACGGTTAGATAATATCGGAGAATGTGTCAAAAACGGGTTGTACGCCCACTGAACACTGATATTGAATTTTTGCTCTGCCATTGCTCATTGCTGTCATTACTCATTGTTGTCATTGCTCATTGCTGCCATTTAATAGTTCTATTACCAATGTATTATAAAAATACACCGATATACACTGATACTTTCGAAATTCCTGGTACTTTCTTAATGTATCAAAAATAAAAGTTTACAAGGAATTTGAGAGTTCTCAAATACATCAGCGTAACTAAAATGATGATTTTCCAATGATATTTTTAATAAATATATATTTACTTTAATTCATATCCATTAAAAAATGTAACCTTATAATTATTATTAATTCGCTCTTGTTATGTTTTCCACGCCAATAAAAATCAAAAATTCCAATGAACATTTAGTCGTCATGAAAAAAAAATTTAAAAAAATTAACGAAAAATGATGTGTATATATATTTTTTTATTCATCAAAAAAATTTCCTAAAGGGGATCCCAATCTTCAGAATTAAAAGGAAATCCATTATTCTTAAATTTCGTTTTATCTTTTTTTGGATTGGTGATTTAATAAAATATTTGAACTTTTGTTAATTTTAGCATCATCTTTATTAAATAAAATAAATTTTTTTATCGGAATTTTTGCATCAATTCCCGAAATATTACAAATAAATTTAGTATAGAATAATTAAAAATTATGAAGGGCTTTTACAAAAAATGTATTACAAAAACTATAACGCGATATAAACTATAAAGTTAGAAAGTTTTTTTTAGAAAAAAAGTTTACTTAGCCCAAATCTTAATCAATCAGACCTGAATACATACGGTACTGAGATATTACATTCTTAAATAAAAGTTTTTAAATGAAAAAGAAAAAAAAAAATACTGAACGAAAAATTTAAAATTTTTAACGAAAAATTGAAAAGATTCAGATATTACACCAAAGATAAGAGTATGGATTCAACTTTCAAAATACTAACTTACCACTGATTCTGGAGTACAATCTGATAAAATGTTCCGGTATTTTGGAAAGTTATTGGAATGTATTATATAGCAACGGTTAAAATGATCTACATATTCACGTATGGTTTTTTATACCTTTCATAAATGTATGGTAGGAGCTATACTCGATTTAGAAAAAAATATGGACCTTGTAAATAGGTGTTACTTAAATGTATTTATTATATGGTTTTTATGTGTGCACTGTATTTAATAAACTATAGTAAATCATACAGATTTTCAGCATACAGCAAATAACGATACAGTCGACACTACAATCATGACCTAATAAAAATAGTATTTTACAATTTTATAATTTAACAAATATTACTAATTAAATCAAAACAAAAAAAAACTTGATTTTCTAATTCAGTATTAAAGAGAAAGAAACAAGCAAATAATATGCGTTTACGCATTTGCAATTTTTTAACTTGTAAAATCATTAATATAGTAAATATCTCATTTGCATATCGAATGAGAATAATCAAATATGTGTCCTTTTAATATTTTAGAATCTTTCTCACACAGTTATTTAATAATTGTTAATATAAAGATATTTGAAAGAAAATTAAATAAAGACAACAGTTTATATCAAATTCTTTAAAGAGGATGACGTCGTGACGGTGGTTGATCAATTATCTATCAAAACCATACGTATGCACGTGATTCCTGTGTAAAGAGTATGTTAAATTGATGTACTTAGAATTACACTGGTGAATCTGGTGATCATACTTTTAACACCAAATCACGTTTTCAAATTTTTGAAATTTTTGGCCACATACCATTATCTTATTTGCTTAATTCTAGGATTTGGTTAGGCACTTCAAAGTGGTAGCAGATTGTTTTTGGTTTACAGTCAGAACTCGATATAACGAACCCTTCGGTTTAATGTTATAACAAAATTTTTATAAGTTTGATATAACGATTTTTATATTCTGATATGTTCATATATAAAAAGATAAATTTTAAAAAATCATTTATCGTGAAATTCGTTATATCGCATAGTCGTTATATCGAGTTTTAAGGTTGGGCTCTTCAAGGTGATAAAATAATTTTTTTATTTACTTTTTTTTTTAATTTCATCCATTTCATTAATTTCGTCTTTAACTCCTTTCTCCTCTTTTTTTAGGACTTTCGGTTACTCATCAAATATTTTATTATATTGTTATTTCTTTATTTTTACTGGCATCGTTCGAGGGCATCGTGGAGTTGCACGATCAGTAATGTTCTATCTTGTAATTATCCTTCTAGGTGTTGTTGGCCTATCGTTATTGAATAAATTTTCTTCTATTTATAGGTTTGTTTAGGCGAGGCGCTCCAAGGTAGTAAGTAAGTGTTTTTCATTATTAATTTCATCAATTCTTGTTTTTAACTCTTTCTTTTTCTTTATTTAGGACTATTGGTTGATTGGACTTTTTTTTCCAAAACAATTTTCGCGTCTAAGCAAATCCTATTATTCATGAATTTGAAAAGGCACGAATTGATATTTCTTTGTACAAGCCAGCTTTTGCTTGTAGAATCTTTGGATGTCCGGACGGAAGCTTGTAGGGATGTTATCAACTTGAAAGCCTACTCGAAATTATTCAAGAACTTGCGTTGACTTTCACAACAAAATACCTATAAATATTGTAGAATTTCGTGCAAAAATTCTTTCGAAAAAATTTCAAGAAGCGTAAAGTTGAGTTAAGATTAAATCAACACAAATTTAAGCTTCCAGTTTAAATACTTTTCTTTATTATTGATCGATACAATATAAAAAAAAATTTTAAAGTAATTTCAATTTTATACTTTTTAGAAAAGGAAAAAAAAAATCAAATTAGAAATTTTGATTAAAAACTCGCAATCCCGTTATAGAAAAAGTTTATCGCAGAAACTAATATAATCTAAAAATTAAAAAATTGCTTCTCTTACAGATGTATTACATTAAAAAATTTAGTTTTTCCATAATGTATTTAATAATAGCTCTACCAAAGATAAAGATGATAGTTTACTTTTAACGTTATTTTACTGTTTATATATCTAATTGTATAGAGTACTGTACTAGTAGGTACAAATAGATTGATCAAAATCCGTAAAAGTGTATGGTAGTTTTTCACCATTGATGAATAATAATCAACAATCTTTCTGCTTCTACTACAGTCTATTACTGCATGGTTATGTCAAATTATTATATTCGTTTTGAAGTTATTTTAATCTAATGTTGAAAACTACCAAATGGGTGGACAAGTGGTTATTGTATAAATTACGTAAAAAATTTGACAATCTAGCCTACTATTTATTGTAAATTTTTTAACATAGTAACGTGGGCACAATATTTATATTTTAAGCGTCGCTCCTTATCATGCTTTCATGAGATTAAAGATGACATGATGTTGATGAAAACAAGATTATTCTTTCAATTTATTTTAATAATCCGTGTAATAAAATCTGTAATATTTTTCTGATTTATGATAACGAATGTCATGTTTTATAATATAAATTTACGTTAAGCTGTTTAAATCAATACAATATTTATAGTTGTAGCGGCACTAAGTATTTTTATTGATAATTTATACATTTAATAATTTGAATAAATTTATTAAAATTATTTAAATTACAAACTAAGAATTTTGTAAAACATTTTACTACTCTAATCTTAGTGTTTAAATAATTCAAAATAAATAAAAAAAAAAAATAGATAAATAAATGATAATAATTTAAAATATAAAAAATATAAAATATTTAGTTGTTAGTTTGATTTCAATTTAAAATCCGTCTGACGATAAAAAATAACAAATTAGTAAATTAGATGATTGCTTTAAAAAGACATCTTATTTAATTAAGAAATTACCATCAGGAATTTCCAGTTCATCTTGTTCATTTGAATGAAGGCTTGGATTATTATGTGTGTCGTCATCATCATCTATAAAAAATAAATAAATATAATTAAATCTATATAAAATTGAAATCATTGTGTTCATTGTTGTAAATATTTTCGCCCTACCATCGATATTAATATTTTGAATTTTTGTTTGTTTTTGAACTATTTCTTTTTCATCATCTAAATTTTTAAATAAGACACGTTTAAATGTTTAATAAATGAAATGATACAATACTAGTTAATTCGCTTATTTACTTACCATTCGAATATATCTGCAATTTTCTAAATTCTTCAGGTAATTTTTCGCCATCATCTAAAATTAAGAATTAACATATAGATTTAATATTTAATTAAAATCGAATTTAATATTAATTCAAATACATTACCTTTAAAAAAATTGATTACTTTTGATGATTTATTACTATTCTGCTTATTTGATCCGTTAAAATCATTAACTGAAAACAAATATTAATTTATAAACATTTTTATGTAAAAAAAATTCAACGAATCTTTGTTAAATACTTACTATTATCAGGAATGCTAAAATCATACGATTTACTACGAAATGCTATTAGTAATCATAAAATAAAGTATTTTAAAAATTAAATTATTATAATAATTAAAAATGGCAAGAAATTATTAATTCATACCTTCTTGTTCTTCTATTATAATTTAATTCAAAAAAAAAAGTAAAATCAATAATTTATTATAAAATAAAGATTTTAGAATCGTTAATAAAATGTTATTACACTCATACCTTCTGTTGCATTTCTAGGTTCAGGTAGATTTTCACCAAATTGATGAATTTTACTTGTAAATAATCTGCTACTTGTATAATTTTCTTTTACTTTATTCATTTCTAAATTATCTATTTTTGATTGGAAAAATTCATCTGACATATTTTGACAATCTATATTAAATCTTTGCATTCTTCTCCAAAATGTGTAAATATCAAGTCTTTTTAATGGATCAGCATCCCAGCATTGTACCATTAAATTTTTATATTCTAATGGAGTTCCTGGCACAATTTTTGGACTTAAACCATTAATAAAATTCATTACAAAATCATAATCATGTTCATAATTTATAAATGGTGGTTGTCCAGATGAAATTTCCCACATAAGAATTGCAATACTATAAATATCAGATGCAAAAGTATATTCCCTTCCAATAATAACTTCGGGTGCTATGTAAGGAAGATTTCCATATATACTTTTTGATGATTTGTCAGCAGGTCCACAAAATCCAAGATCACTAATACGCCAATTATCATTATATTGTGAATATAATATATTTCCAGAATGCAAATCTCTATGAATTGCATTTTCTCTATAAATAAAGCAAACTGCGTTAATTATTTCATAAGCAATGTTAATTCTTTTTTTCCATGTAAGTTGATTATGATTTTGTTGTAAATATTTTCTTAAATCTATATCCATTTTCATCATTACAAGCATATAACTTCCATTTGTTTGATTTTGTGTTAAACCATAACATCGAACAATATCCGCCCATTTGTTACATATATTTAAATGCGATTTAGCCTAAATAACAAGATGCAGTTGTTAATACAAAAACTTAGGATTTTATAAATAAATTTCAAATAAAATTATACAAACCTCTTCAAACCAACTTTGATTTGCACTCTCAACATTTTCTAATTTTTTAAGTATTACTTTACAAGTTCCAAATCTTTTTAATTGTTTTTTTTCAGAATCCCATTCATCATAATCTCCATTAATCCAACTTGCCGTATAAATTTCAGAAAATCCACCTTTTGTTAAATATTTAATATTTTCTAAATTACTATATGGAATCCATTCAACTACTTTACATGGCATGAGTGTTTTCATTTGACATTTTTGGATTAAATTATCAATATCATCATTTCCAGACGTCCAATTTGAAAATTTTTCTTTTAAATAATTTCGGACACAATATTCACAATATAATGTGGCTAAACAATTTTGGTTACAATTTTCACAAATTCTTCTTGAACCATCATTATCCATAACTTTATTTCGATCATAATTTTCAGTTAAATCTCTTATTGCAAAAGATTTTTCTTCATTTGTAAGAATTTTATCAGCAAGAAGTGTTTGTTTTCTAAATTCGAATTCTTTATGTATATCATTATGAATATTAGTATCTGTTAACGTTATTATTCTATTCTTTGTTGCATAAATTAATTTATATCGAAGAGTGGACATAACGTAATCAATAAAAAAGAGTGAATGAATTATTTTAAGTTCGTTCCGACGTTCCGTGATAAATTAGTAAAATGCAACTAAATTGCTGATCAAAACTTCATGTGCCCACAATAAATGTGACCTTAAGGCGTAGTATTTTACGCCTTTTACGCCTCATAACCAAAAAAATAAAAATACACTAACGTAATAATACAGTGTCCAGAAAAAAGTCAGTAACCAATTAAAAAATTAGCAATTAATTAACAAAGTTTACTATTAAGTAAACTTTTTTTTATACTAATAAAATTACTCTTTATGAAATAAGTAAAGCTGTGTATTATAATGAATTAAATATATCCTGAAAATTTCGTATTAATTTGATCTATATTGAGTTATTTATTACAATTTTTGTCCATATATTTCAGTATTTTTAACAAAATTTTTGGTTATAATTAATCATTAAATTTTTTGGTCTTGAAGTATTCTAATCGAATAAGCAAACTTGTTGGTTACTATGTTAAAAAACATGGTGCTTTAAAATTTAAGATTAATCGGATTCATACTTTATACTAAGGTTTGCTTGACTTAATTACAAAATTTTACAATCGATCATGACTGATTATCTTTGTTATTTTATAAAACTTGTACTTAAAATCTATAAATTTTTTTTAAATTTTGCTGACATTCTTTCAATAAGAAGTTTGAAATGTACGAGGAAAATAGAGACATAAATTTACTTAATAAATGATCGACAAACAAAGCTATAAATAAATAGAAATGATCTTCAATCACGTGATTCATCACGAAATTTTGCATTTAAACAAAGCGAACTTAACGAATATATATCCAGACAACCTGAAATTTTAAGGACCAATGTTTTTTAACATAGCCAACAAATTTTCTTAATTAATCACAACATATTAAGACTAAAAAATTTAACAGTTATTTATAGTTGAAAATTTATTATAAAAATACAAAATTTTCAAATAAAAATTGCACTATATAATTCATTTTGAATTTAATTAGCTTAAAAATTTTAGGATAAATGTAATTCATTATGACGCACAATTTTAAGGCGATTTATTTATTATGAAAAAAAGTTTACTTAGTGGTAAACTTCACTAACTAATTGCTAATTTTTTACGTGGTTACTGACTTTTTTCCGGGCACTGTACATAAAAAATATCGTTTATTATTAAATTAAAAAAAATCACAGAAAATAGATGTTTCTTGGTTAGATCCGATTTTCTTTAATTTTGGAATTTTCATTGAAACCCTTTCAATATTTTAACAGGTGATTTTGCTTTACCCATCATCCCTTAAAAAAAAATTTTTTTTTTCTTTCTTACCGATACAGTATTAATACCTTTTATTATTATTAATTTTTCGATGAGAAGATCCAAATTATTGTAATATATTAAGAATTTACGATTATTAATTTCAACATAAATACAGTAATATTGTTTGTTAAATTTTAATAAATCTGTTTATCTGCTATTTATACAGGAGTTCATTTTAAAAAAACCGTTTAAAAATTAATTATTATTAAAAAAAAATGTTGTGTTACAAATAATTTGATGATATTTTTTTAATTATTTGAACTTTAAAATAGCAGTATTTTTTTCAAAACGATACATTGTAAAGCTTCCTTTTAGATAGTGTTTCAAAGAGTCATATTTATCAAGAATATTTTCTTTGAATTCGTTGATGGTANAAAGAAATGAAAAAAATTTAGTAAAAATAAATAGCGAAAATTTTTTTTATATCCATTTTCTGTATCGTCAATAAATAAACACAACTTTTTAATCGCTAATATCTTTATAGTTCATAGTACTCCCGATAAATTATCCCTATCTGATATTTATTTTTTTTATGGATAAAGAAATGATGTTTATTCAAGAGTGGATTAAAATTCTAAAAAGCGGTAATAGTTAAAACAAGTTCATCTATTTGGTAAATTGAGTTCTGTACACGAGCGAAATGTACTTGATCTGTCATTATTTTTATATAAGTGTTAGTATTCTCGAAATAAAGATATAAAGTAGATAAATAAGAATAAATAACGACAGTTCAACTTAAACATGGAATTTCCATCGACGGATAATTTTTTGGTTTGAAAGTAAAGATTATATATTATTCAATAATATACCACGATTTTATTTGTTTATGCCATAAAATTTATTTCCATAAAATTATTATTTTCGTCTAAATTCGAATTATTACTGTTGCAACGATTAATAATGGTTATTATAAGATAATTTATACATTTAATAATTTGAATAACTTTATTACATAATTATTTAAATTACAAACTAAGAATTTGTAAAACCATTTTACTACTCTAGTCTGTGTTTAAATAATTCAAAATAAAAAAAAAAAATAGATAAATAAATGATAATAATTTAAAATATAAAAAATATAAAATATTCAGTTGTTAGATTGATTTCAATTTAAAATCCGTCTGACGATAAAAAATAACAAATTAGTAAATTAGATGATTGCTTTAAAAAGAAATCTTTATTTATTTAAGAACCTACCATCCGGAATTTCCAGTTCATCTTTTTCATTTGAATGAAGGTTTGGATGATTATGTGTGTCGTCATCATCTGTAAGAAATAAATATATAGAATTAAATCAATATAAAATTGAAATCATTGTTGCAAAAATTTTTGCCTACCATCGATATTAATATTTTGCATTTTTGTTTGTTTTTGGACTAACCATTTTATAGTATATTAATAATTTATTTGTACTTATAAATTCAAGAGTATTTAACAAATTTTATAATACATGGAATATCCCAAAATCCAGTTACAAAAGATTATATTATAGCTTTTTTAGATAAAGATTATTGTATAAACTGTAACAAAGCTTATACAGAAGTAAAAAATAGATGGTGTAAACAGTGCCAAATAAATAATTTAAGAAAAACTTTGACTAACTGGACCAGTGGAAACGAAAAAGTTGATTATTTTATTCAAGAAAAGCAATCACTATGGATTAATGATCCACTTGACGTAGTATTTGAGTGGATACCATACAATCAATTTTGTGATGTTAAAGAGTTAGATATTGATGACTTTTCTATAGCATTGTATTCAGCTAAATGGAACAATGGTCCATTATATTGGAGAAGTTGGCCTAAAATATATACAAGAGAATCAGACATGAAAGTTATTATAAAACATTTATATAATTTACAAAATATTGATGAATTTTTAAATGAGGTAGGAAATTTTACTATGAATTGAATCATTTAATATAATATATTGATTTATTATTATACTTGAATAGGTTAAAGCACATTCAATCAATTTTACAGTATATGGAATATCTCAAAATCCAGATACAAATGATTATATTTTAGTTTGGAAAGATAAATATGGAGAATGTTGTAAAAAATGTAACAATGTTTATACAGATGTGGATGATCAATGGTGCAAAGAATGCCAAATAAATTATTTAAAAAATAATTTTATTAATTGGTCTAGCAAAAATGAAACAATTGATAATTTTATTCAACAAAGGCAATTAGAGGCTAACGTAGTGCTTCGACCCGGATGAAAACCGTCATCCGGATTACACAAAAAAAAAATCCGGATTATATCCGGATTGACCCGGATTTTGAATCCGGATCAGATAATCCGGATAGAAACCGGAAACCGGATTGGATTTACAAATGATCGGCAATAATTCTGGCCAGAATTCATAACGCCTGCCAGAATTACAAATTGTGTAACATTAAATTTTCATGCCAGCCGATAAAAAATTTTTTGCCCGGTGGCTAAACTATTTTTCTGGTGTCACGTGATGTTAATTTCGGCCAGAATTAACAAATTTGGCCAAAATTATCCAAGACCACGAAATTTACATAATTCCAATTTCATTAAATACTTTTATTTAAAACAATTTCTTTTAAACAAGATATTTTTATATACAGCTAAAGATTACTATAAATAGATGTGTTGGGTTAGTAAGGTAATTTTTTAAGGATTTGTTTCTTCTTTCAAAAATTAAAGAATCATTTGAATCAAATTACATAACATTAGTTTTAATTTTTTAAAAAAGTTGTTATAATTATATAGCTGTCTCTTATACACATCTAGATGTGTATAAGAGACAGATATTGAACAATTTTTCATTTAAAACAATAATTATTATTTTGTTGTAACAAAAATAATATAAAGTTTTTTTTCTTTTGAACGTTTGAATGTAAAATCTAAAATTATTTGTTATTTGTTAATGTATAAATTTAAATAAACAAATCTGATACAAACTTCAATAAATAAATTATAATTGAAAAATCTTCTTAAACTTACTGTATTAAAAAGTTTAATATAACAAATATAAATTTAATAAATTTTAATAAAAAAATTGGTATTAGGCGCAAAAATAATTAGCCATAATATCATTTAGATATAGATCTTTATGGATCAGCAAAATTATTATCAATAAAAAAAAAAATAATAAAAATTTCATCCGGATTCCGGGTCAAACCGGATATTTTTCATCCGGTTTATAATCCGGATGAAAACCGTGAAAATCCGGATATCCGAAAAAAAAAAAAATCCGGATCAATCCGGATTGATCCGGATACGGGTCGAGGCACTAGGCTAACGGCCGATTGGATATAATATTGGAATGGATACCATACAATCAATTTTTTGACATTAAAGAAATAGGTAAAGGAGGTTTTGCCACTATATATTCAGCAACATGGAAAGGTGGTCCGTTAAATTATAGTGTTCATAAAAGCAAATATGCGAGAATTTTAGATAAAATAGTTGCTTTAAAATGCTTACATAATTCTCAAAATATTACTGATGAGTTTTTAAATGAGGTACGACATTTTCGTTATAAATTCGCCATTAATTTATAGTAATTTTTTTTTGTTTTTGTTTTAATAGATTAAAGAATATTCAATAGATAACCATGGTAATAATATTGCTAAGATATATGGCTTATCCCAAAATCCTGATACAAAAGAATATATTATAATTCTTGATTATGCAGAAGGAGGAAGTCTTAATAATTGGTTAAGCAAAAATTATAAATATTTTTCTTGGTTCGCTAAATTAAATACGTTACTTAATATCAGTAATGGACTTAAAGAGGTTCATCAAAAACAGAGAGTTCATCGTGATTTACATACAGGGAATATATTATTTTTTGTGAATAACATAAATATCTTCGATGATAATATAATATCAATTTCTGATATGGGATTATGTGGAGAAGTTGATAATATAGACAAATCAAATATTTATGGAGTTATGCCTTATGTAGCCCCTGAAGTATTAAGAGGAAATCCTTATACTCAAGCAGCAGACATATATAGCTTTGGTATGATTATGTATTTTGTATCAACAGGAAGACAACCATTTGCTAAATATGCTCATGATGAGATTCTAGCATTAGATATATGTAATGAAATTAGACCTGAAATTAGTGAGCCAGAAGCACCAAAATGTTATATTGATTTAATGGAAAAGTGCTGGGATTCAAATCCAGAAAATAGACCAGATTCATTAACATTATACAAATCGATTTTACAATTTCGTAAGTCATATAGAGGAGAAATTTTTGATACAGGAAGTGGAATTTTCGAGGGGCAACTTAATAAGTCATATAATTCATATAGAGGAAAAAATTTAGGTACAGAAACATATGGTATTGGGGAGAAATTAATTGCGCCACATAATAAAAAAAGTTTAGGTATAGCAACATATGATCAATCGAAAAAATTTTTAGATATAGGTAATATATATGGTGATGAAACTGAGAAGTACTATGATAATGAAATTGGTGAGCAGTTTGAAAGGTCACATAATGGAGAGATTTTCGGTGCAGGGACATATGGTGAAATTGAGAAGTATGATAGTAATGAAATTGAGAAGCAATTCATAAAAGCAGAAGAATACAGAATAGGAACTCTTTCATTTGAAGAAGATAATCAACTTAGTAATCAATCAGATACCCATCCACAAGCAATTTATACATCCCGATTACTTAATTCTTTTACCCAAGAACTAAAATTTGATGACAATCCTTCTGAAGCTTTAGAATGTGAGATAAAATAATGATTGATTTACTAAGATGCAATTCACTTGAATTAGGTAATTTATAAATATTATTTCATTCAATATAATTTTATATTTTAAAATAAGTAAATAAGTTTTATATAGGATCTTAGTACAACACTTATTATAACTATAGATTAACATAAAACAAGATCACTGTGTAATTAAGCAATTTGTTTTTAAACTATTACTTGATAAATAAAATTTCTCTTTTTTTTTTTATATTTTGAAGTAATTATAAATATTGCTTTTAAAGATAAGATTTTACATATAGAATTTTGTGTATTTCCATTAAATTTGAACGAAAATTTTTCATTTTTTAATTCGTTTAAAAACAAAATAAAATGAGTGAATTTAATTTAATATTTCATCCGTTTAACTTTATAAGTGAATTAACAATACAATGTTATTTATAAACATACAGTATAATAAAAGTGAAGAAAACCTGGCAAAGTTTAATTCATTAGCATAATTTTTTACTTTGTCATCTTTTGTTATTGAAATCGAGGTCACCTCTAAAAATAACTATAGTCTCCTCAATGCCAAAGGTGCTATCTTGGGTGCCTTGATTGGTCACTTCAAAATTGTTATAAATGTCATCTTCTTTCTCAACATTATCTGCTTTCCTTTTGTGTGTTAAATCATCTTGTTTTTGCTGCACGCATGTACAAGATCAAAGCTGAATATCTAGATTCTGTGAAGAACTAAATATCAAAAAAAAAAAAAAAAAAAAAAAAATACCAGCAAGTCACAGCTGATTCTTCCGATTCCTGAAATAATCTCTATTATCAGAACACAAGATTGTGGATAAGGTAATTACCAAAAATTGATCTTCATTTCTTTCTGATGGCCACTAACCTATGCACATCAACAAGATAGATAAAGGCTTAAAAGACGACTAATCATCCGTACGAACCCTTCAAAACTATTTACATCATCGTCTTTCATGGACTTCAAAGGACTTTTCATAGTTCGGAACTGCTTATTTCATCAACGACTTAATGTTCGTCTGAAAATTGTAAGAAATAAAAATAATAATCAAATAATTACAAATATTTTTAGTAATATGCCATCAACTTTGCATCACCTTAGTTTAGCAGCTCACTTAAAGTTAAATCAACTTGAGACTTTGCAATCTCATCGCTTCTAATCCAAATGATATCGATTATTTCTGATATTTCACTATTTTAAAAGGAAAATTTAAGCAAAAGAGAACTACTGAGTAGTAACTTTTTTATGATATTTGGAAATAGAAATATAAAACGCAAAGAAGCTACATATAATTTTGCGCTTTTCTTCATCCTCCCATCGGGTTAGAACAGCATTCAACTCTCCTCGACAGCATCGAGAGATATAGTTACATCACTTACATGTAGTAGAACCAATTTAACTGACCTTCAGTTAATTCTGTAACAATTTTGCTTTATTTACCGCATTTTAATCAGTTGCTTTGACAACTCGTCACCTAGCAAAGAATGAGCTTGAATTCGCTTCTGAATCCAGTGTATATCAAAGATTTGATAGATCAACTCTCAATATTCATATTTAGCCAGTAAGTTGCACAAACAGTCCAGGTAACGACTGTAACACGCATATTAGTTGTAGTGTTAAGTTTCATATTATTGTATGTAGAGAAAGTGCCGATGGTAATTTTGATGATAATGGCGGTCTGATGTAACATTCACGAGTTGAAAATAGACGACGACTCTACTTAATCTAAACTGGGGGTTCAGTTTTATTAAGATTTATTTCCATACTGTTGCAGTAGAGTTTTCGCAGTATTTGTTTCGGAATAAACTTTTCCTAAAGTTTTTTCCGTAGACCATAGTAAAATGTATCATTAAGACTTAAGTACTAGGTCTTGTTTTCCGTTGACATAGCTACAGGTTTAGCTCAAACGAAAAAAATTTGCTAAACGAGGAGTTTCCGGACGAATGTTTATGTTTATCCGTCGCGTATTTCGTTTCTATTTTATCAATCACATATTCCCGCCGTTATGTGATCCTATGACAATTAAACGTCATAACTTACAGATGAACACGATATACGTTTAAGATATCTTTATTTTGTTTCAAAGGAGATGACAATAAAATTCAACCGTTAATCGTTATTCATTATTAGTCAAAACTAACCAAAACTAGCTTTTTTATTTATTTATTTATTTTATCTATTTTTTTTTTGTAAGGTTCAATGATGACAGAATGACTTGAACTAGTTGCGCGACTTAATAGTGAATGGGTAAATATTGAAAACGCTTTAATAATTTTTATTGTAATACATGAATTGGGCAAGTAGTATTTGTATTGGTACGATGAATAAATTTTGAAACCACATTGCTGATTTCAATTATAAACAATAGGTATTATGTGAAAAATGGAGGAAAAAAAAATTAAATGTCTTGTTATGCTTTTTTACTAGCTTTTCTTTCTTTCTTTCCGGACAAATTGATTATTAACGTATCGTAATCTAGTATCAAAGTTAAAAATTTTATAATATTAAATAATTTTTCTTTGAACAACTTTACATTTTAATTCAAATAAAAATATTAATAAGTACATGGAGCGAATATGGTTAAATTTAGAAATCGCGAAGAATTCATTGTGCAGATATATGATAAATAAATTAAAAGGTATATAAATTATGTGTTAAATTGTGTTTATAAAGAAATCTTGGCGAAATTTTTATCGTTCAAAATTAGTTTTTTAGTTACACAAGTTTCAATGTAAATATAATAATGACCCAAAATAATTATTTATTATAAAGTATTTTTATAAGAAAAGGTTTTATTGTTACATACAGTACATATAACTATATTGATTATTCGTTGATTCAATGAAAGATCAATGAGAATAAAAAAGGAAAATCAATATCTATATCACAAACAGGGGTACGAATAACAGCCACCTAAAATCTTACTTAGAACAAAAAACTATTGTTATATGATGAAAATATTTTTTTTTAGATATTCATATTACTTTGTAAAATACTTTAACAGTTGTTTGATAATGTATGTAATTATCAAAAATTTAAAGAATAAGTTTATTTATAAAATTTTCAAAATTTTCAAAATTTCCCAAAAAATTTATGTTAAACCCATTAATATTAAAAACCTTCCAATTCTTCTACATATCTTAATTTAGAATTAATAAACAAATCATAATATTTTTGAATTTTAATATTATATAACTCAAATTCTTTCACTTCATCTTTAAATGAAGATAAATCAGTATTAGAACTAATAATAGCCAAATATTTGATTCTTTTCTTTTTCATAATATATTTTTTTATATAGAATAAAATAATATCATGAGTATCACGACATTCCTCATCTTGATCTTCACTATAATTGATTAACAATTTTTTAATATAAGTATTCTGAGAATTTTTTAAGAAAATTTCAAAATCTTCATATTTAATAATAAGAGTTAAACTTAAATATTCTAATTTAAGAGGAAGTAATTGACCTAAATTTTGTAATATAATTGAACTAAATTCAATAGCAAAGATTTTGATAGAAAGATGATTAAGATTTTGTTTTAGATTTTCAGTTAAATTGAATAAAGGATAAATAATCCGACTATTAAATACAGTCAAATCAAGAAATTTAATATTTTTACAATATTTTATAATTGATTCAAGTAATTGTTGCTCCTCAGATATAAACGAACTAAAACCAACTTCAAACCCAAAATTTTCCAAATAATCACCATATTTTTGTAATAATAATTGTAATAATTCAATAAATTGTAATTCATTATTTCTATATAAGAATATAGATTTTAACTTAAATGGTTTAATTAAGTTAATTATTTTTTGAACAAAATCAGTACTTAAAATACAATAAATGATATGAACAGATTCTAAAACATTCAATTGTTTAAATAGTTTGTCTAAATTGGTTATAACTTTAAAATTTAGGGAATATAAGATGATTGTATTTAAAGTATTTGATGAATGATTATAATCTTTTGATAACAATGATGATTGATATATAGGAAAACTATTACAAGTTGATGAAATTTTTTTAAGATTTTGACATAAAATAATCATTTGAGGTGCAAAATTTTTAGCATGGCTAAGTAAGACATCAATACAACCGAGTTTTAAATTTCTAATATTATGAAAGAAATCTGGGTTTTTTAACATTAATTCAAGTATATCATCTATATAGGAAAAATTGATCTGAATATCAAAAGTATGTATATTTACTTCATTTAAAATAAATATTTTAAATAATGACATGTGAATTAATCTCTTAAATCCAAGTATTGAGCTTTTTTCGAGTTTAACATCTTTAGCCCATTCTTTAATAGAAGAAATAATTTTCTGTGTATACAAATATTTTAAAAAAGTGGGATAATTAAAAAGTGTATTTGAAGGAAATAATTTATCATCAATTTTATATTTACTTAATTGTGCTTTTAAATCACCATTTAAGTTATGTAAATAAATTATAATAAAGTTATAATTTTTGTTAGGAATTGAAAATGGATTTTCCCATAATAATGGAATCGCTAAACGACACCATAATCTGTTAACTAATATACATGAATGTAAAGTTGAAAAATCATTCTTAAAATATTTTATAATATCATATGTTAATTCAGGTAAATCTGAAAATATTTTTGAATATGACATATTTTAAGCGAAGTAAGAAAAAAAGAGGTATTAGTTTATCACTTATATTAATTTCGGAGTATTGTCGCACAATTAGGGCGTAAAAAAAGGTATTATGTAATTATGTTACAATTTGAATCACGATGATTGATATATCCAAATACTTATTCTTTTCCATATTTTGAAATCATCCTTTTCTCAAAAATTTATTTATTGAAACATTACACTTTTTAATAGTATAAAATGTTATTGCAAAGATAAATCTTATCATTAATCGATAAAGAACACATTTTTCGCATATATATGTTACATACATTGTTTCTTAAATTTTAATTACATTTTATTCTGTTACTATCACGTGACTAAATCAACATACAAAATACTGTTAGAAGTCAGTTCTTGTATGCTTAGGATTAAGCTATGTATATAAATTTATATTTTGGGTTTAGGCAGAAGGTTATAATTAATGGATCATAGTTAACGCTAAAATTGAACAGATCAGATGTAAATAATGTATCACTCAACACTAGTGCATACACTCAGATACAAATAAAGGTCACAAATTAGCAAAACTCAAAAATCAAAGTGTATATTTTAAAGATAAACCTTTTTTATTAATTAAATCCTAATCAACCGATACATTTTAATGCTCTTCTTTTACAGGTCTATATATATGTAAAAATACTAGACTAAAAATATCTAACATATTGCATTTATTAAATAAATTAAACATATTTGATATATTGAACATATTTGATATGTTGCATATATTTGATATGTTTCATATATGCAACATATGCAACATTTCGAACATTGATCATCACCCCGTGATTAGGCCGAATTTTTGTCACGTGATTGATCGTTCGTTACATCATCCCCCGCAAAAATTTCAACTCCCGTTAAAATTCCAATGGATTCGGTTACCAGTTTCTGATATTCTTCATGGCTTAATTGCCGAATCATGGTTGACGTTGTTTGAGTAGTCCGTGTGATTTGGGCAACTCCAGGAAGCTCAAATATGTAATATGTTCGTATGGCTGAAGTCCGATAATGTATTGATAATTGCTGCACGTAATAACTCCGCAAAGTACCAGTCATTTCTTTTTCTAGAAAGTGACCCATATAGAACAAATTTGTCAACAATAAGATTCTATTTCTGAAGCGTTTTGCTCGTTCGATTGCTTCCTTTAATATTTGAAACTTTTCTCCATGGTTAATATTATCATCAAATGGTGGAGGATAAGGGACAACAACTGCCAGTTGGTTTTGATATAAGTCTGTATAGATAATTTGAAAAGCATCCATTTCCGAATGATTGTAATTTCAATAATAATAATAATTAAATAAATAATAACAAAAAAAAAACTAATAAAACTAAAACTAAAATTCCCGAAATTTTCTTTACATATATATAAAAAAAAACATCTCTTTTTTTCATCTCCTATTCTATTGATCGTCAATATTTAGTAAAGATCATCACTTCCAATAATTACACTTCTCATTACATGAATATTTATGGATCACCACCTGATCGTTGGTGATACAGTTTCAAGCGTTCTGAATTGATGGGATCCTTCAAAATTTTCCCGTCTAAGGTTCGCAACTTATAGGCACCATTATTTATTGTTTCATGAACATAATACGGCCCTTTCCAGCGTTCTCGCAATTTTTGTTTTTCTCGTAATTGACTTTGATAAAGGAGAACCAGGTCACCGATTTTAAACTGCACGTCATGAAGAGCATTATCGTGACGTTGTTTTTGTTTCTGTTGCGATTGGTATATTACATCCTGTGTTATAAGCCGATCTCCCACAATTTTTCCGGTCAACGTATGAATTAGGTTGAAAAGATCTTGTTGAATATCACTTTCAGGTAGATCTACTTGAGTAGTCCGAATAGCGAATTCAATCGGCAGTATAGCATCTCTTCCATACATTAAGTAAAACGGTTCGTGTCTAGTCGTGTTATGTCTTTTTGTTCTATAGGCAAACAACACAGACGATAAGTACACGTCCCAATCATCCTTGTTTTCATTGGCATACTTCGCCAATGCTTCGCATAACGTTCGATTGAATCTCTCTACCAACCCGTTAGTTTGAGGATGATAAGCTGTTGATAATCGATGCTTCACTCCAAGTTCTTGACAAAGTGAATCTAACATTTTATTTACAAAGTGGGTTCCTCGATCGGTAAGGATTTCCTTTGGGCATCCATGCCAGCATATTATGTCCTCGTAAAAAAAGGACACCACAGATGAAGCCTTTGCATTTGGCAAAGCTCGGGCTTCCGGCCATTTGGTCAAGTATTCCGTGGCGACCACTATATACATATTTCCTTTCTTTGTCCTTGGAAGTGGTCCAACAATATCCATACCGATTCTGTCAAAAGGCTGCCCCACTTTTATTGGATGTAATGGTTCGTTTCTCCAATTTTTGCCTCTTTTCTGACATTCATCGCAACTTTTGACATAAACACGAATGTCATTGAACATTTGGGGCCAATAGTATCGGATTTTTATTCTTCGATACGTTTCATCAATGGAGAAGTGCCCGGCCAATGGGTCCGAATGTGAGTGGTGTAATATGCTCTCAACATCGTCGAGCTGGTAGTGTAGTCACTACGTTCCTCCACCTCGGCCACGGCCTCGCAGTACCTACATCCCCCTCCGTGGGGCAGGTTTACCTGCCACAGTACCATGGTCTGCCACGGTATTTTTCCACTTATTTTTTTTTCTACATTTTTTCTTATATATAACTTACTATGACAACTATGGCAACTATGGCAGACTACTTAAAAACGGAATAAAAACGCGAATAAAGCCGAAATCAAACAGAATCTCCTGCCATAGTACCTGCCATAGTACGAAAAATCTTATAATAATACTATGGCAGCCTTAGTCAGCCCCTCAGACCCCAAAATTC